GGTTAAACATTGGAACAGGCTGCCCAGGGAAGTGGTTGAGTCCCCATCCCTGGAAGTATTTAAAAGTCGTGTAGATGTGGCGCTTAGGGACATGGTTTAGTGGGCATGGTGGTGTTGGGTTGACGGTTGGACTTGATGATCTTAGAGGTCTTTTCCAACCTTAATGATTCTATGATTCTATGATTCTACTTCAGGAAAGCTGGCACACCACAAAACCCATAATTTTACATTTTAAAAATGTTATTTTTTTGTGAGAGTCTGCCGGAAGAGGTTAATATAGAGAATTATGAGATTAATAATTAAATAAATAATATTAATCCTTGCTGTCACATATGTATTTAGGGTTTGCAGTGGAAATACATTTTCAGGAGGAATATAGGGGCAGATGTAGTTTTGCTGATTTATTTGGAGAGTAGCAGAATTGTCCATGTATGATGCTTCTCTACTGCAAACAGTATATGAGTATGTTGCTTTCTAAATGTCTTCTTTATTATATAGCAAGACTTGATATTGTTTCTGTTTCTGCAAATATGTTTTGTTCCAATGCTTATACATACTTCACTCAAAAACATAAGCTATGGTAGAACTGTGTGAAATCACAGATTCCCTTTTGCAAGAATAGCGATGAAGATTTAATTAAAAAAGAAACTATTAGCTATCCTTTTACTCATTGCCTTCTAGTTAGAGTATTATCCATGGTGCAGGTGACCCATACATCCTCTGATTCAGGGCAAAGATTTGAACTACGATCACCTCTTCTGTGAACAAGTACTTTATTTGGTACTGTTTCTCTGCCTCTCTGTCCAACTAAAAAGGGAGGACAGAGAGAGTGGAAAAATGCGAGAGGCTGAGAGCACCTGAGCCTTACAGCAAGCTGATGAAGACCAGTCTCTCAGAGGTAGATGATATGGGATCAAATCCTCTCAAGAAGAGGAGAAAATTAAACCTAGGATGAAACCTATGGTTCTCATATTTAAGAACAAGAGGTAAGTTCCTTCTTGGGCCATTTTGGTCATAACTGAGTCATCTCTGCCCATGTGGATGATACTTGCCTATAGAATGGGTTCTTGTCCTATGTGGAAGCAAGAAAAATTAATCACCATTAGAACTATTACTATAAAATGATTGGACCTTGCAACCACCAAAATAAAATGGTGAAAAGCCACTCCCTGAATGATGTAAGAACATGTTGCAAAAAATCATTCTTTCTTTGCCTGAAGTTAGGTAGCTGAACCCATATTTAGGTACCTAAGTAGCAGAAATTTTCACAGTTGATGAAGCAGCATGTGCAGGTGATTTTGACTAAGTGAAAATGAATTGAACGTTTTAACTTAGATATCTGGATGGAATGTTATTATTTTCCATGTTAACAATGACTTCCTAAGAAACTAAACTTAGGTGACTTTAAGCATTTTTTATTTTATTTTTCATTTTTAGTGGACTAGTAAGTAGAATTAATTTCTTATAAATTTCTTACATTAAAAAGGAAATTTCTTGTTTTGTAATCATGATATAAATTTAAAATAGTCTTGTCTTGGGGTTAAATAGTGGGCATTTACAACTACGTATAAAGATGTGTAGAATGTTGTGGAGATGTATCTCATTTTGAAAAGAAGGAATTAACAAAGGCACTTGTGTGTATCCTGAAAATATTTCTTCCATTCTCCACTCCATCTGGATGCTAAGCTGGTTGGCATAACATTGGCTAATTCACATCTGGGAGAGATGTAAATAACAGGAAGAAGAAATGAAATGGATAGTGTTTCCATCAGACCGTAGTAGAGTATGTTCTCTTCTATACCAGTCCAAACTAGGCGATCATAGCAACACTTATGACTCAGGTCACATGCATATAGTTTTACAAACTAAAAGCTGTAAAAGAAACTATTTTGAAAGTGATATTCAGTGTTTTGATTAGTGTTGCAAGACCATGCTGAATAATTGGATGGCAGAGGCCCTGAAATGCAACAAAAATCCTCTCTCTACTAACATATGGAAAAGAAGAAAACTGAGTAAATTTGCAGAGGAAACTTTAAAATCTGTTTGCCCAGGTTATTGGGCCACAAATTTATAGGTTCATTGCTCTGGGGACATAGTATTTCCATATCCAATTTGTAGCCCAGGCAATTTCAGATAGGAAAGAAGTGATCTGTGAAACAGACTTAACATTAAAAAGTGTGAAAACAACTTACATTAAGTAAATATATGTTAGAAAACCTTTTTAGTTTTAGCTGGCTGCTCATTATATTGGTTAATTTTTTTGTATAATGCTTTAAAGATTACATATGAACAGAATGCAACTTTACTCAAAAATAGTTAAAAGTAAATCTTGGAACAAAGTTTGATATATAAAATGTAGTTTCTAGTGTATGGAAATCTTTGGGGAGTTATAATGGATAATAAATTGAAATACATTTAAGCTAGAGTATCTCTAAAATCTACTGTTTAGGTATCTTTTTCTACTTGCAACACTGAACTTTTTATAGCATTTCTTTTCTACCCATATTTACAGTGAGGTCTAAATGGCAGTGTTTTTGTAAAAGAAAAGAATCGCTAGTATAAAATAGAACAGAAGAATACAAGTCCTCCTGAAAACAGAAACTTATTTTTTCTTCTCTCTCTCTCTCGGTAAATGGGCTTATTAGATTTCATTCTTTAAGTTTTCTTTGCTGTCTGGGAAGTTCTATAAATTGGATGGACTTCCTGACCTCGCTGACATAAATGGAAAAGAATTGTTTTCACTTAAATGTGACTGGATTTTGCCATTTAGCTTTAAGTTTGAAATGTGAGAGACTTGGCAGTATAGCTTCATTTGGCTTTTCCTCTTTTAGGTTCACACTGTAGTTCCATCCTATGTGCATAAAAGAACAGAACCAAATATAAACAGACCTCTTCCCAGAAAGAATTATGAGAAAAATAAAATTTGACTTTTGAAAAGAAAAATAATATTTAATTTCATTGTCATTGCAGTATCTCTTGGAAGATTGAGGCACTTAACTAATGTGCTGAACCAAGTCATAGTCCTGTAGTTCTTAGTTGTGAGCAGTGAAGAACCTGCTACTGCTGGCAAAGAGTTGTTTCATCCCCTCACGTTTACTGAGTATATTTTCAGGTCTAGACATTAGAATGCACTGCAAAATGGCTAAAATGTATATAACGTTTTCTAAGTGACACTTTTTCATGGAAGATGTTGCACAACAAAAGGGGTTTGTATGCTGAATAGTGGCCCATGCAGTTTCAGATAGGAAAGAAGTGATCTGTGAAACACTTAAATTTCAGCATACCATTGAAAAATGTGAAAAGTATATAACAACATTTACTTACTGGTCATTGATAATTCTGGTACATTATTTTTTAATAATTTGATATATTTAAGGTTCAGAAGCTGGAAAGACTTCTGTAGTAGAATACTAAAGCTAAAATATGTGGTGCAAAGCAACAGAAGTTGATTCTCAACAGTTTGAGAAAAATCTGTGGAAGTGCAATGGGAAGCTAAAAGCAAATTTACTGGGGTTGCCTGTTTCTTCTTCTTTTCTCTAGTGAAAGTTAAAGCTAAAAAGGATAACTCTGAGTCACACTGATGACAGGATGTTCTTGCTAGCAGAGACTTATATTTTGTGAAACTCTAATCTTCTTTTCCCTTTCCTCTTGCTTTCCCTGGCATTCCTTCTTTTCCATATATCCTCTTCCTTCCAATCTGCTGGGATTGTTCTTATTTATTTGCTTGACAGTTAATGGAAACAGATTTAGGACAGCTGTCTTAAAATTACCATATGAACAGAGATATTAAACATCAGCCTGTGAGTTTTTCTGTCTTAAATATTATTGCTGTTTTTTTCTGGTAGGTAGAGGTTCTCTGTGAACTGTGACAATTTTAGTAATAACTTCATCTCATCAAGAACAGACAAATTTTGTCGCTCTCAGAACACAATTACAATTTTTGGAAATCCATTGGGTTCTATCACGTTTCACCTTTTGAAGCTGGTGATACTCCTGCCCAGGAAATATGCAGGAGTTCAGTAAAAAGAATTAAATATGCATAATCAAGACTACTACATACTGACACCTGTTTTAAAAGCACTATCTGATATCAGTGCATAGTTATATGTCAGCTTTATAATTGAATGAAAGATAAAAAAGACTGGAGATACATTTTCATTTGAGATAGTTAAACTAGTGCCAATCATAACTCTATTGTGACTTATACATGCTAGGTATAACTTCAGTCACTTTAAAATGTTCTGTAAGAACTGCTGAAAAAGACTGTTTAAAATGTTATTGTAGTGCAAAGAAAAAAAAGGTTATAAATGTCCTGATAATATTAAAAATCTTGTGTTTAAGAAAAGTAAAGAAATACTAATAACAGTGATTCATATTGTAACTTGATCCTGAATTGTAACCATAAATTCCAAAATTAGCAAAGGATCCTATCTTGTGCTTTAAATTTCTCTGGAAACACATTAAATCATTTATCTTTCCATTAATAGAACACAATGTTTTATTTTTCAGTTCCCCCTGCAATTACTCTGCTACAGAAATCCTTTAATGCCACTGCAGATCGAGGAGAGGCAATAACTTTGTTCTGCAGAGCCACTGGATCACCTCCACCCGAAATCAGTTGGTATAGGTAAGTTCAGTTGAGGTCTGCACATCAGAGCACATTTTTTTAATGTGTCACAATTTTCTATCACAGTTCATTAAGTTGTGCAACCTTAATTTCTTTAATGAATTTTAAGAGCATTTGCTGTCCATTTCTGTTCTAACTTCTAAAGCTAGATTCATCATTAATAAGTGAATGAACTCACACAAATTCAATTGCACTCAGGTTACCAGCAAGTGAGATAAATGTAAAAAGTAACTAAAATACTGTATTGGCATGATTTCTTCATATTTGAGGGGAAACAAATAAAGCTGAAGCAATGAGTCCATATCTTAAAAACAATGCAAGCAAAAATGTCACAACAACTTTTGCACAGGAATGCATCAGGTAAAAACATATGCAGTTATGCAATAAATATCCAATATAGATCAGCAATACTGATAAAAAAGATAACATTTTCCACATCTGTAAAAATAGATTCTAACCCTAACTCTCCATTTCAATGAGATTCAGAAGGAGGTATGGCTTTAGACACCCCTAGGACATGGGAATGTGTTGTGCCTTTCGCCGGAACAGAGGGAAGACACAGTCACTCAATATGAGTGATCAGCATACTTCGTTTATTGGAATGCAATCATCAGACTTTATAGGGTTACTTCTTACATATTTTTTCAAGTGTATTTTCTGTAATTTTTAAAATTTAATATGTTTTGAAAATGGAACTGCTTTTAAAGTTCATGTGTGGTTTTTGATTATATCAATGCAATGTATGTAGTATAGCCATGTTGTTTGGAAACACTTACCTTAAAACATTTGTAAAAATTTAAATAGCCATACATTGTATATTCTTTCAATTTTAACAAAGACATGCATCACTCCTGGGATATAAAGTATCTCAGAGTCCTCATACCAGTGCACATCTCTATTTTAGACCTGAATAATTTGCATCTACATATATTATTTCAGATTAATTAAAAGGTCACTGCATTTTCAAAATGGACATAGAAGGCATTTCCATCAATTCTTAATGTCCTTTGGAATCTTTGAACAATGTTAGATTCATTTTAAATGTTACCTTCCTGTGGCTGACACCTTTATCTTAACATGCCATAAGTCAATTGTGGATTTAAATTTTTCTCATGTGCAATTTGAATCTCAGGAGATGTAAATAAATAGCATGCAACGTTAATCCTTAATGTGGCTTAGAATTCAAAATTTAGTGAAGAGGAGGAAAAAGAAAAACAAAATATGCAGAACCCAAATTAAAGAACTGATACTGAATTCAAACTAAGGTTGAATATTCTGATTATTTAATGTCTTTGAAGTAATTTTTTACAATGTATGTCTTATCTGGCAAAACCCTTAGGAGTTGTCTGAAATCTGGTATCCTAAATGGCCTTGTTGTGAGAGAACCAACATTAATGTTTTATATTGTTAAGAAAGAATGCATAAATTTCCACAGTTTGTGGATATCTCTGTTTACATTTGTGGGGGTTTTTCAATATTTTATAAATATTACAGTATGTACACAGGCTAAGTGTCTTGGAGAGACACTTATCTCTGTCTACTGATCAGAGCTTACTGAAAGATTTTCCTTTGGTTTGCCAGCCCCTGAGGCAACTGACTTTTTTAAACCATTCGTTAAATATCTTTTTAAAGATTTTACAAAAGCTTAACAGGCTTGTGTAGTGGATACTGGATCTTAAATGAGGAAGCTTCTGTTCTGTTCCTATTTCAGGAACTATCTCATAGTGAGGAATATTGGCTTATGTGCCTCCCTTCCCTGTTGTGTTTTTTTGTTGGTTTTTTTTTTTCCCCTTTCATTGTCTTTTTATTTTGTTTTATTAGGCTATAAATTCTAGACGGTAGAAAATATTCTTGCTTTTTTTATTTGCTGACAGTGAGAGGTTGTAAAGTGGTAGGTGGAAAAGGCCTCTGGTCTCTGTGACAGAATATCATTGACATGCAAACAGGGAAAAAAAGATGGGAGGAGCTAAATTATTTTTTTTTCTGGAGGAAGCAAACTTGATTCTAAATTGTATTCCAGTACTAAATTTCTGCATCAAATTTCTGAAATCTCTCCTGAGCTGTTCAGGTCCCTTTTCACTCACATATTGGTAGCCAGTTAAAAGGATTCAGAATCTGCTGATATATTCTCCTTGTCCTTGGACTTCTCTCTCAGATATGTAAAGATAAAGACTTTTGTTTTCTAGAATATTTCAGATTATTTTTCTTTAGAAATTAGACTGAGCATAGGAAAACTAGATCAACATACTCCTTCTTGATTTTGAGAAAAATCTAGAAAGCATTGTTAGTGATAGGAAGGTCTATCAAAACTGATTTATCTAATATTAATATTAATATTATTAATATGCATGTCATCCATTGAGAACCTAATTGAATCCATTTATGAGAATTAATGACCAAGGTGTCATATTCCCAATTTCATCCTGTTTAGCGTATTTTTTGATGTTGAATGTAAGTTGATATTAGCCTCAGTTTTATGTAAGTGTTTCTTTTTTAATAAACAAGTGAAATTACATCGTGAATTTGATTAAGTGTTAATGCTGATTTTGGAAGGATTATAACCTTTGGTTACAGCAAGTTACAGGAATCATGTGTTCAGTTTTATTCCCAACTGTACCATTTATCTATGTGAGTTCAGTCATTTTATTTAATTTGCCTCAGGTTAACCATTTGTAAAATGGGCATGTGTAATAAAGTGACTTAATGGAAGTCTGTTTTCTGAATACATAACTATGCTAAGGAAAAAAGTCCAGAGAGATGCCAACTACTATAACAGAGACTAATGTTTCCTTGTAAAACATTCAAAAGTATACTGAGCATTCTGGAGAGCTGAGGAAAAGCTCTGATAAAAAGGGTGGGAATGATTTCTACTCCATTCTGCTGTAGGATTTTTGTTATATTGTATAGAAAGTACATCCGTACCTGTTGAGATGGTTCATCAAGATTAAGGACCTGTTTTATACACAGTTCAGTGTTCTTGTGTCTTTGTTGCCTTTTAAAATGTGCTCTGACACCAGTTATTCTCTCATTCGTGCTACTGAAGTTTCTTTAGCAAGGCCTGCATAATTTGGATCTATCGTTGCGTAGTCTTACCTTCCTTACAATCCACTGATATTTTAGTCAATTAAAAAATAAATTCTCTTGATTCTCTTTTCTCTTGTTTCCTTTTCAGTTTCCAGTGAACTGATTTAGCAGGTCAACTTCAGCCAGGGCATAAAAAATGGCTGTATTTTTAAAATCAAATGACAGTACTACTGAGGTGGCTTATATATCCCTCTGCGTTGACTGTAAGCAAGATGCTGGACGAGACAGTAGTTTCAAGCTTTAAACTCTTTAAGACAGTATCTAATGTGATAAAGCTTTAACTATTTACATCAACCCTTTTCATTTCCAGGTGCTGACAATGTTTAAGATTTTGTCAAATTAAAATGGAGGCATCTGAACTAATGTGTTCAGAAGCACTTTCTCAAAAAAATGCTTTAGTTCACTTACAAATTTGTCAGTTTGAAATAGCTAGTCAAGAAGAAAGGTCAGCAAGGTTTAGTTGGTGCTCTATTTAATATGCATATATACTTTGTTGATATTTCATGGACCGAAAGAATCTAATTCTTTCACCACTTAACTGATATCTCTATTGAAGCTGATATTACATTAGTGTAAAGGATTACCTTCAGAGAAGCAATACACTAATAGAATTAAATTAGCCAGGACTGAAAGATAAAGATCCAAATGTACAGGTCATGAACTGGAAATCTTTACTCATGTGAATAGTCCTACTGAAAACACGATTATTGTTTACGTCTGTAAGAGATAATCTACACTAGTAAAGTTTAGATGGATCAATCCCCTTATCTTTACTGACAGGACTTAAAATTATCTGACAAAAGAAATAATCCGCTTTTAATGTGTTACTCATGTTTTCCTGTTCTCCAATATCAGCATCAATCTGAATCTCTCCTGTTCGCTCGAGGGTCCAGGGAAATGCTCATAATCTCATTTCTGCTTAGAAATTGTCATAGATATAGGTGATGTTTGTGATAGTGGGCATTTGGGAAACTACTTCTGACCTTGAATGTAGACTTTTGTCTCCTAACAGAAATGGCTAGCTTTTTTTGTTAAACCACCTATGTGGAAAATTAGACCTTTTCTGTTCTGCAAAACAATTTCTATGATTTGCTTTGGAAAGGAGATGAACGAGTATCACAATAACGTCTTGAAGCGGACAGCTAAGTGGACTAGTTATTTATAAAAATGTTACTAAAATGCAAGCTATATAGATGCCAGGGGAATCCTGTTAACGGATATTAATGTTCCCAAGAAAGAAGCAGTATTCGTGCTTTTAGGGAAAATATTATTTTAGAAAATATGAAATATATGTAGTTATCAGCATTATGTGAGCAGAAATAAGTGAAAATCATTGTTGCTCAAATCTTGAAATAAAACTAGATGTCCTAAACTAGGCATATTGAATAGAATAGAATAGAATATTTCTGTTATGGCTATTGGTTTCATTTTACAAATAGTTTGTTTTCGAGAAGCTGGCATTGTCAGCAGGATTATCAATGCTTATGAAAATCAAGCAATTTTTATGTAGGTGCTTATGAGAAGGGACTGTTGATGATTCAACAGACATAAGATCAAAAGAAGCCTACAGCAAACAAGGCAGAGTGAGAAGAAATTTAAAAAGTTAGAATTACATTCTTGAAAATGAAGCTATTTTGATAACTGTGTGTGTGCCAAGGTGCTCAAATGGACCGGTCAAGCCTCGATCAGCCCTCAGAATTGTTCACAGGTTTTATTATTTCTGTACCATCTGGTCAGAACTCATTCTAACATCTGGAGACATGCCTGCTTACTAAGTTGTGGCTAGCCAACAACAACTGAGAGGAAATAATTTGGAAGGGTTCCTTATGTGCCAATAGGCCCTGAAGTAATTTAGAATATTTTTTAATGAGTTGGTACATTGTTACTAATGTGAACTGCAACAGTTACACTTTGAAAACACGCTTTTAAATGTTTCTCACATACAATATGTATTTGTGTAACTGATTTCCTTCTATCCTTCCTTGAGTGTAAACTGTATGTTAGAGTTCTATTCACAAGCATTTTTCTAACATTGTCAATATCGAACATTTAAGAATAAAGATATTATAGTATTTTTAATACATATATATTTTATAACCTGACAATAAAATTGTGAAGCTGGGGTCTTGAACATCAAAATGCAGTTCAGAATGCTTTGTTTGTGTCTAGAGTGTGCACATTCTTATGAAAAAACACTGTGATCCTGCAGAACAATTTTTGTCATGCTAAAATCAACTCCCTTCTATACATACTGCAAATTTATATCATGTGAGTTAATGCATTTTTGAGGCTAGCATAATCTCTTCCCTCAAAGATTATTTTCAACATATTGATGCTTCCATAGCACATTGTTTCAGATTTTGGAACCTACTGGTTGATTTATACATCATTTTTATTTTTTTTAGAAATGGAAAACTTATTGAAGAAAATGAAAAATATATGGTGAGAGGAAGCAATACAGAACTAACAATAAGAGATATAAAAAATACTGATGCGGGTCCTTATATCTGTAATGCTAAAAACAAAGCAGGAAATGATAAAAAACAGACATTCCTTCAAGTTTTTGGTAAGTACTGCATAGCATATTCCATCTTTTTTAAATGTAAACAGTAGGGAACTGAGGTTATAATTCACAATTTTCAATGGAACAGTATTCCTGCAAGGTGTCTACTGATGCAGCAAACCACTTTCTGTATAATTTTACAGCTTTTTCCTCCCTGTTGGCTACTTTAACCTTTACACCTGACTTTAATTTTGAAAAGGCTATCTTTGGCATTTGCTTTTCTACTATTCAGATGGAGTACAATGGAGTGTTAAATTGTTAATTCACTGGTTTTCCTTTACAAGTTAGCTTCTTGCAAGAAAACCAAGAGGAGAAAGAAGGGAAAATTATTTGGACTTCTAAGCAGTGCCTTTTTTTTATAAGACACCATGCAGAGGTGTTCCTGATTTTTTAATTTGTTTTTCTTTCTTGATTTTTATTTTTTTTAAGTGCATGATTGCAGATGTAGTCACAAAAATATTGTCTGATCTAAGTTTCAAAGGATAAAAGTAATAACATGAAAACTTATTTCTCTTTCTATGCTCTACCACCCAATCTGTGTTCATGATTCTCTCCTTTACATAGAGCTGATAATTTCTTTGAAGTTTAGTATAGCTATAAACTAGTGAGAGTAGGCATCTATGAGAATGTAGAAAACCTCCCTCAGAATCATTGTGCAGGATCAAGGCTGTAGCTTACTTATGAAAAGCCTACAAAAAAGTAATGTGTTGGGGTTTTTTACATTGTAAAAATGCTTGTAGTAGAGAGAAAGACCATTTATATTTGAACAGCTAAAGCACATACTTAGGACCATGGGAAATTAAATTTTAAGTCCCAGTTAAAACTAATAGTAATTTATACAAAGTGAAACAGTTCTAAGAGGAGAGGCTGATCTGGTAACTTGCACTGGAAGTGCTAAACAGCTGGGTTGGATAATGCTGTCATTTGGGATCTGGGGGCCTGAGGCTGAAGCCATGGTGTCAGGTGAACAGGTTAGCCGTGTCTGTGTGCCTTCCACTGTCTTTCCTGTTTGGGAAACTATTCATAGCCCTCCATGCTGTGCTGTCTACAGTGCTCCATACTCCAGATGGGTTGCCTAAGCATTGGGTTACTTTGTTGTTCTGAGGTGCTTGAAAGTTATTCTCAATTACTTTTCAAAGGAAAGAAGATGAAATACAATTTTAAAATTCATCCCAGCCTCAAGATGTAGAGCATCTTGAAGATTTTTGTGGAGAAACCAAAACATTTTATTCAACTGTATTTCCAAAGTTGAAAATAAATAAATAAATTTGAAGGAATAGAAGGGACTTGCTCGTTTTGATATGAGTTTAGGGAAGTTTCAGGCAGAAATAATTTTGCATGTTATTTGAGTAACTTTAAGTATGGATGAAATTTGCATAGTTTTTGCCTGAGGCAAGGTAACTTTTTAATGCAAGGAATAGGGAAAGGGAGACACCAGACTAAGAGTAAGCATCTCCTGTATACATTCTTCCATCTTTTAACAACCACTATTCTGGGGACCCCCCGGAAAGCTAAATCCAAATGATTTAATGGATACCATGAGTTTGTTTAATCCATTTTGAACCTACACATCCTTTTTGTTTCCACGACATCCTAAACTCCTAAATTCCTTAAATGATTTATTTCTGGCATGAAAAATTATTTCTTATGCTTAAGTTTGGAGCCTACTCATTTCTTTGGCTCATAATTCTCATTTTAAGAAAGTGAAGAATAATTCTGTATGTTCTTTACATCAAATGTAGTTTTCTATCTCACTAGATCATTTATTTTCTAAGCTGCGAGTTTCCAGTCTATTTCGTATCTACTACTGTGGGAACCATTATGAATCTCTGAACCACGCATTCCTGTACTTCTCTGGTTATAATCCCCTGCTTGTGAAACGGCAAGGCAAGAATGGCACACGGGATTCATGCCGTGGGGGGAACCTGGCTGTTCAGCAGCACAGTGCTGCTTCTGCTTTGATCCTGGTGCCTTCTCGTAATGTCTGTTTGCCTCTCTGGCTCTCCCTGCGTACCGAACTGGTGTTTCCACAGAACTGTCTGCAGTGTCTCCCAAGTCTCTTTCCTGAGTGGTTATAGCTAATTTAGAGCACATCATTGAATATGTATATTTAGAGTTATTTTTCCTGTGTGCTTTACTACTGGATATATTTAAATTAGATTATAATAATCTGTGTACTGTTAGTTTGACCTTAGGGAATAGTATCATAAATTAAGCCTCTTACCTTATTTGTAATCTCTAAAGCCAGTGTGATTTTAGTCTAATATTGCCTTTACGAAGTTCACCTCTACTTTCAGTCTGAAAACATGGAGCAGGGCTGTTGTATTTTCTCCTACAAAGAACTTTACTTTTTCTTTTGTCTCTTTCACACAGGTTAAACTCCCAGATATACAGATATACAGCCATCAACTTCTTATACTTTTTTTCCCCTTAAATGTATTCAAAAAACTGCAGTCTGAAAATGGCAAGGCAGGTGGCTGTGTATTACAGCTAAATAGTACACAAACAGCCAGTTTGTGTTAAAATGACCTATTAAATTGCATTATTCTTTCCCTCTCCATTAGCTTGCCTGTCACCTACCTGCTATCTTTAATTTTAATTTACAGTGCAAACTCCTTGGGGCAATGATTATTGTTTCTACTGCAACAGGGCTCAGGCAGGGTTGAAACTTGTAATAGTAATGTAACCATAATGCAGTAAAGATAACAGTAACATTATAGCATTCAGCATTTAAAATTTCTAGTTCTCTGGACTTTTGAATGGACATGCCCATCTTAGTGCCATCTAACACCTGCATATGTTTAGTTTCCACGTGTGACCTAGATTTTTTTGTTCAACATTTTTTTTGTTTCCAGTATCAGTGTTAAAAAAGCTATTTTGTCCTCATATCAAATTCTTACTCTGACAGTTTTTCTGGAACACTAACACATGTATAGAAACCTATATGCACACACCCTGCTCTCCCCAGTTCTTCATCTTTATTAGTGCTTTTTATCTGTTCTACCGAATAAGACTTAGAAGAGTAAAGAAAGCACTGTTGCCCTCAGAGGATTTCTTACTGATCATGATTTGGTAATCTCTGTCTGTCATCTTGTTATCTGCTATAGTTCTCTCTGTATCATTATCTGTTACTACCTAAAAGATCTCATCCATATTAATGCTTAGGATGTGTGCTAAGATTTTTGATACAAATTCATTTATGTTTAGTCCTTCTGAATGTCTTGAAACCATAGGTGTTCTTCCTTGATTTTTTAAAAAATATTTTTAGTATTTGTCCCTGCTTGGTAGCTAACTTTTTATATCTTTCACCCATACTATGCAGTTTCATTGTTTTCTTTTATTTGTTTTGTGACTTAATTAGCCATATATATATGTGTGTGTGTTTGTTTAGATACAGGTGAATAAGCATTTTGAATTATGAAATACCACAATTTTACAGCTGTGGGCACCCCAACAAAATTTCCAAAATAATATAATAATAAGTAATTGATTTAAGAGCAGTCATGGAAATTCAATCCCTTAAAACATTCCTACATCGTCTTACTTTCTAAGACCTAAACATGTATTTCTTCATCATTACTTCTCCAAAGCGATGGCAGTGGTGTTCTTTTACCTTATAATAAAAAATCTGATCGGGCTAAATGAAACAAAATTAGCTTTAATTAAATACATATTCATGCTTTATAAGAATAGTACTTATATTCTGAGGACAGTTTTTATATCTTCATTTTGTTTGTTCTTTAGTTGCTCATTTCCACTCCTTAATCACTCAAATGTTTGGTTCTGCTGTTCCACGATGCATAAACAATTGAGGTTTTCAACAAGTTTTCTCTCTTCTGTAGATATGTCATAGAAAGAGACATTTCTATGTCTAGAAATTTCTACTTCTAGAAAGAGAAAAAGTATTTTTTCTTTAATCAGAATTGGTAAAAAAATGGGAAGGAGTTCTAGCATATGTTAATTTGAAGTTCTCTAGGGTATAGGTGTTTTACCTACATAATCAATGAGAGTGTAGTCTGAGCTTATCAAAAATATTTCATTGGCATTTCAGTAGTTTCTGACAATTGATTTCATGAAAGTCAAATGAGGGAAAAGACCCTTTATAATTATTGTATAGTTTAAGCACATACCATTTTTAGTTTCTAGATGTCTTTTTATATATAATCTGAATCTTGTATAGCAAGAAGGTTTTTGCAAATGTGTTCAATGTAACTTTTATTGATTATTGAGAAAAGTATATGCTATTATTCATTTTTTATCTGTCATCAGGCAGATGAGAGGAAATGTAATGGACCTCTCCTGTCTTATCCCTCTTAGATGTGTTCCAAATGTTAAAATTCAAGACATTTAGGTTAATCTAAGCCCTCAAAAGCCATGTGTCTTGGAACCAAAGAGACTGCAGTGAGTCTGATTGGGGTGAGAAGTTCGCTAAATTTTTTCCTTTATTTTCAGGCTTAATGACTGCATGCCTTTTACATTTGTAGTGCCTGGAGCACACCTAGTTAATTGGCCTTTGAGCTTAATAAGTAGAATAATATGTTTTCATTTGTTTTTTGTTTTTTGTTTTTTTTCCCATAAGATACTATTCAATACATATATTGAAGCTCTTTCTTTAAATTCACTGTTATATCTAGAAAGGGAATCCCATGGACCTGTGTATGGAACTATCTGTGCCTGCTCATCCCAGGTATTATGAAGTATACCAACTGCAGCTTCACAAAGTGCAATTCATCAATTAAAGATGGAGTGTGAAAAGTTCATACATTTTTCTGTATTCCTTCTTCCTCCCTCTTACCTCCTTGCCTGTTTGGAACACCTCTAATTTTTAAAATAAAAATGATGCAATCTGTAAAGGCAGTGATGCCAGTTCTCTCAGAAGACAGGTCTTAAATCCCTTGGAATGTGAAGTAGGAATACCGTTTTAACATGTACAAAGACTCAGGTTTGTCATATACTAAATCAAGTCAACACTTCATACTGGTGTGTGTGTGAATCCTTATTATGTCAGGTATCAAGTTTCAGGAATCTGTTTCTTAGATATTTCTTTGTTGGACTCTAGCTTTTTTACTAAATTCAAATTGTACCAGCAGTTTCCAGAAGGATGGGGTTGCAGTTTTTCTACCCGATACAAGTGTGGCTGTGCAGGAAGATAGCACAAGAGTATGATTCCTCATGTGTTATATTCATCAAGAGATCCTATCAGGCAGCGATACAGACATATAGTAAGCCTCTCGCCAGTAAATCCATGCTTGTATTAATAACAAGCTCTTTAAAGAAGTTCTTTTCATGAGATATAATCAGGACTATCTCAAGCTTTATATATGTGCTGCTTCCCAAGTCTGATGAACCTCTTCTGTCAAAGATAAGAGTAGAACTCTGTGAATTCAATAAGTTGTGTACCTTTTTCAAGAAATCAGTTGTAAGCAACCAATAATAAATCTAGAACCTCAGATTGCTATCCAAGTTCTTCTTAAGCTTTTTGGGGAGGCTGTAAGGTACACAGCAGTGAGCTTAAATTTTCTGTTAAAAAGGTATTGCCTTTGTCCGAGACAAATCCAGAAGAGACCAAGGAAGGAATCTGAAAGAAACTTGTTTATTGAGGAAGTGTTAGGCAACTTAACATCAACCTTCTCTGCTCAGAGAGAAAACTTTCCAACCAGTAAATGTTATTTCTTTATTTGGCAGTATCACTCTGTTAATATTTAAAAAATGCATGTCTAGTAATAAGCATTCCTTTTCCTTCCAAATAAAATAAAGTTAATGAAGCTTAAGCATAACTCCTTTCTATATTAAAGCCTTCTTTCATTTCAGTCAGGTGATTCAGTTTACAATTTTTTAAGTACCTTATAACACAAATATTTCAATATTTTTGACTGAAGAAACCAGCAAAGACCTGGAGGCTTCCTGGATTGACATTCCAAGACCCTGTATTTTCATTTGTTTCATATTTGCTAGAGTACAGCAAGCAAATACTAATTCAATTTGAGAATGACCTTGTCAATTTAAAAAGAACAGTTAAGGAATTGGGAGGGGGGGGAACAAACCCTGTTTCAGTATTTCTATGAATACTACTAGTCTTGGCATTCTCAAATAAATATTTATATTTACATGTACACAAAAGTATTCTAATATTTTCCAATGTCCAAAATGTCATAAAAAGTAGTCAAACAGTATAAAAACTTCTAGTCAATAGCAAGTTATGACTTGTGACCTACGAAAATGAAGCAATTAAATAATATCCCCCATTTGAGCTCTCTTCTTCTTCCTCATAATAACTGTCAGCTAGATATATTTGATGATTAATCAGTGCTTATTCCTTTAAATGTCAGCTGCTCATGTCTAAAATGTCAAGCTAAAACTTTTTGTCTTGTGATCCATTTGAAGAAAGCCTTAAAGAAAAGTAGAATATAAGTCTAAGATTAAAAATTAAAGAGTATTAGTTATATGTTTTAGAACATGCATTATCTTGAGATCATATTGTCTGTCATGTCCAGATGGGGAAATCCTGTTGTTCTGATGGAAATAATGTAATTCCAAATTTTGCAAATTTCTGACGTAAAATAATATGTATGATGCTTTTTTTTATTAATGATATATCTGCCATAGCTCTTTCCTTGTTTCTGGGGATGATATTATATCAAAGGAAAGAAAGGAAAGAACAGATTATATTGTAGCCAGGAGACATGGCTATAGAAATAGAGTACCTGAATTACCCAAGATAGAATATTTCATAGGCATTTGGATGATCCTGAAAGTGAGAGTAATAACTGAAGTTATTTTGAAGTTTAACTTGGTTATCTTTTATCTCAAATTCTTTTTTTGTAGTTCTTTCAAATGACATCCCTTGTTGTACTATTGAGGAGTTTCAGCTTTTCTTAGCCAAATTGATGTCCTGCCGTAATACTTTTGCTTACTACCTTCTACTGCATCCAATAAAGCAGGATCCAGTTGACATTTCAAGAGCCCCAGCTCATGCAGGGTATTTTCTTTCTGCACACAATGTCACTCACCGTAGATTGTATCTTAATGAAGCAGGATATTAGTGCAGTGCTTTGTTAGGTAAAATATGAGCTGTTTTTCATCTCTATGCAGTAAACACACAATAGATTATTTGTAATAGTCAAGGGTGAACAGACAGTAGACAAGCAACAGAAGGAGTATGGAGATAAGAAATGAGAAATGAGACCAAGAATGGTGTGGTGGAAATGCATAAAAGAGAGGTAGGTGTTGTGTCTGGATATAGCAAGTTTGAACCTGGTTTTATTTTTTTTTTTTTTAGTACTGCTGAATGCAGCATCTGTGAGAAAATGGTCATAAATGAAATAGTGGTCATAAAATGAAAAAGGAGACTAGACATAAGGAAAACATTCTTCACCATGAGACAGTCAGGCACTGCAACAGGCTGGTGAGAAAGGGTGCAGTCACTGTTCTTGGCATTTTTCAAGATAGTGCTCAACACATCCCTGAGCAATCCGGTCTGAACAGAGTCTGTTGACCCTGTGTTGGTGAGGAGGTTTGTCAAGATGACCTGCTGGAGTCTTTTCCAACCTGAATGATTCTCTTTCCCCTTTTTGATCCGCTAACATAAGCCAATATTACTTTTCTACGTAGCATATACTTTTGTAAGTCCGTTAGAAAATAGGTTACCTCTCTGTTTATTTTCTGCTTCATAGAATATACTATAGTAGGGCTTCCTCAAAAGCAAAACTCAGAAAAACTACACAGAAAATATATTATTTTCAACAAATGTCCTTAATGTTTACAAAGTCAATGTTAAGAGCTGCAAAAATTAAATTTACTCATGTAACCTTAATTCACTGGTTTTGGGTGTAACATACTGAATCATATTCTTATTACATGATTACATGCTAGGTTTTCCAGTGGGATGAGTGTCTCATTCAATGTGTAAAGTGGATAGGTTCAGACAAACTTATTAATGGTTATATATGAGTGAGTATATTGGGCCAAAACATTTTTTATGAAGATGTTTGAATGCCGTGAAAGAGAGTAACATTCTATGCATAGTTCTATAACAGAGTTCTTGTATGATATTGTACAGATAAGTCCTCTAAATAAAAGTGTTAATGTGTAACCAGAAATTGTATTGCACATATAAATAACCTGACAGGGTACAGTATAGACTGAAAGCTGGAGCTGCTGTATACTTGTGGCTATAAAGTGGAATGATTTGAAGAATACAAACAATATCTGGAATTTTTAAATTGTATTTTACCACCTATTTGCTCAGTAAGTAAGGATGAATAGCTTTGTATCAGAGGACTCTTCAGTTCTTAACAGTGTTAATACCAGTACAATATTTTTGTTTTGAGGAGATTTTGTTAAATTCAGTAATTTGTGTAAGGTAGATATTTCTAAAGATCAAAGTCCAACAATAATTAATGCATTAAAAAGATACTCCACAGTCTCCTGGGCAGCTTGTTCTGGTGTTTAGTCACCCTCTCAGTAAAAAAGGTTTTTCCTCTTCTTAAATGGAATTTCCTGTGTTTCAATTTGTGTCCATTGCCTCTTGTCCTGTCACTGGGCACCATTGAGAAGATTCTGGCTCTGTCTGTACTCACCTCTATCAGGTATTTATACATATGGCAGGATCCCCCAGAGCCTTCTCTACTCAAGGGCACATTGCTGGCTCATGGTAAACTTCTTGTTCACCAGGACCCCCTGGGTTTTCTCTGCAGAGCTGCTTTCCAGCCAGTTGGCCCCAAGCCTGCACTGGTGCATGGAGATACTCCTGCCCAGGTGGAGGAGGATGATGGAAATTTTGGATCTTTGCTTCATTCCTGAAGTGCCAGAGAGCAGCGAGGGCTAGCTGGTCCCTACAGGACAGAAATCCAGGAGCAAAGCACATGAACACAGCAACCAGGGCAGCGGCCTTATCAGTCAGGACCCATCCAACACTACCCCAGAGATGGAGCAGGAAGCCCTGGGGGTGTCAGCCGTGCTGAGCCAGGAGTCCAGGTCATCAGACATACAGAAATGGTTGTTGTGCAATTTGAAGTCAGAAAAGTTGATTGCTCTTATAGACAGTAATGTTAAACCTTTAGTTATTCCTAACAAACACAAATGTGCTTAAAAAACAAAAAAATGGTTTAAAAGATAGATTTTGACATGACATTCTTTGTGCAGGATGAGTAATGTAATTTGTATTTTTAACAGTACAGCCTCAAATAATACAACTTAAAAATGAAACCACGTTTGAGAATGGGAAAGCCACCCTCATCTGTGAAGCAGAAGGAGAACCTATCCCAGAGATTACTTGGAAAAGGGCCATTGATGGAATAACTTTCTCTGAAGGTGACAAGGTAAATCAGCCTTTAATGTCTAAAATATCTAAATATGTATTGTCTAGCTAATCTTCTTTTCATAAGCAGAAAATTAATTTAGAGATAGATTAATTCTAGATTCCTCTGGAATTGGAAGGAATTGCTACTTTTCAAGGTAATAAGAGAGAGACATGGAGATTCTAAATTTTAAATTAAAAGAAAAAAGCAATTAAAGTGCTGAAAGGTAATTCACTTCATCAGGCCTAAATTTTCATACATAATCCCTACTAAGGGTTTCAATTTCGTCTTGATCATAATGGCTGCCTGTAGCCCTTCTTGACTATATTTGAACTCTGTCCAGTATTTCTCAAAATGCAGTAGAGCTTATAGAAATCTGAAATAAAAAATTCTGAATACCTTGGAGTTCTTTATTTCCCGCTTCTGATGGTTTTTTTTTCCTATTTTTCTCTTTTCTTATAGTTTTTCTCACACAGAGCAAGTGGTCTATAACTACAAGTTGAGCTCATTTTCCCATTTTGTTTTCCCATTTTCATGTTTTATTACAAAAGTAAGTTGAGTAGAGAAAGATTACAGTATGACAATGAAGAAAGTCAGTTACTGTGGGAACAAGAGCTGTAATTAGATGGAATGGTGAAAGCAAAAGGGAACGGTGTAATGTTATTCCTAACCATATTCCTAACAGCTTGTAGAACAAGCTGTTTCTACAGAGCTCTTTTTCTTTTTCCTTTTTTAAAAATAATTTTCTTTTAGTATTTGAACAAGTATTTTCTTCTTAATTTTCTTACATAAATTACAGAATTTCTCTGTGCTGGTCAAAGTATGAGATACCATCTTTCTGGCTGGCTGATTCAGATTTTTTACTCCAGATAATCAAATAGTAAAATAGACAGTCTTCTTGCAGATGTTTGCATATTCATAGCTCTTGCTTAAAAAAACAGTTGACAAACCTATGCAGCAGTCATGCCAATGAGGGAATTAGATACATAATAAGTCACTCAGTTTATAGGGAATTGCTATATATTAAGGAATTATGTACTTCCATTATTTGTGTTCTGAAGGAGAATGTCTGGTCTGGTCTGGTCTACTCTCTGACTTGACCTTTCCTGGAATTGAGGCAGTTTATGTGAGGCTATGTCTACCATTTTCCTGCTCTGTGATTTCCATTTTGGAGCAACATAACAGTATTTATATCATATTTCTTCTAAAAGTTTTTCATTAAAACAAAACAGTTTGTCTCCTGCTTAAATACTTCAAGTCAAAGGTCACCTTTCTGACCCACAAAGACTAGCTTGGTTCAAAGGTTACAAATGTAGTCTTTCACTTATGTTTGGAATGTTCCTAAAATAACTTTCTTATATTTGAAATTGAAAATGAAAGCAAATTGCAGAAGCAAGCTAAAAAATATTGGTGCAGTTGAAACCTGAAATGTATCCAGTGCTTATATAGGACAGTATTACAATCTTAATTCAAACTGCAGATTGTTGAACTATCTAGACGTGTTACTGTAGCATTTTTTGAACTGTGGTTCAACTGAATGATACCCACAACCAAACTAAAACCTATATTCAGTTTCTACCAGTGTGCTGACATCCTGTGTGTGGAAGATAAAAAGAATGAGAATAAATGCAGTTATATGGTTTCCTTTTGTTCTTGCCAGTGACAGAACTCTGTGTGTATTGCTCATGGGAGATTTTTTGCTGAATGTTGAATAAATGTTCTGAAATACTGTCTATGTCCTTGAGCTCTAAAATATGCTGCTGCATTTGCCCTGTGGTCCTCCAGCACTAGGGTGCCAAAGCCTTGGCTTGTGCTTTCCTACCAAATTAGGTGAATAGGGAACAAAACTGGCAGTGATTAAATTATTGAATAATTGTTGAATAATACAGCGATGTTTTGCACACAGAAGGAGAAAAGGTGAATTGAAGAAAATGGGGGTGTGTGTGTTGTAACATAGTCTTAAATTGAAATTATTACTTATATGTGATAACTTTTGAAGTAATGTTCAATCACCAGACATACTTGCATAAATATAAAAATTGTCATCTACATTCAGACAATTCATCTTTTGAATTTTTTACCAGTTTTAAAATATTTTTTTGTATAGACTGCACTTTATCCAACATTTTGGTGAATTAAGAATATCTTTAGGGGATGATTTTTTTTCATGGAAGATGGAAGAACTACTCTAACTGTAATATTAACATGCTGATGATTAAAAAACATGGAAAGTGTTGTTCTTATTTTTTAATTATACTTTTATTACTTTTAGTATGCAGCTCCTCAATCATGTTATTGTTCTTTTGCTAAAATGCAAGCATACCTTGTATGGATAAGGAAGAAGGCTGAACGTGAGATCATTCTTAGGCTGCATGGATTCAAAATGTTTTCTTTCAAATGATAGATAGATCTTTTAACCAGGACATAGGCTTTTCTGAGTTTTGAAATTATGATGTCCAAAAGAATGGAAAATATGCACCAAAGTCAGAGATCAAAGAAATAACCCTACTAGGCTTAAGGAAGATAATGTTAATGAGTAAGAAGTCCATAATTATCTCTTAGGAAAATATAGCTTTGATAAAAGATTTTCAATACATCAGAAGTGTGTATTTAAAAGTTGCAGCCAAATGAGTTCAAACCAGAAGCAAAGAAGCCTTTTCGTCTCTCCTTTTATCACTTAGCCTTTGGAACAATCTACCACACTGTGTGCGGTCCCTCTTTCATGGAGAATTTGAAATAAAGGGGTCTTTCCCCTTCCTCTGACCTCTCTTGAAAGTTTAAATGGAAAGTTTTCCAGGAGGTCACATGAGATGACCTCTGTAATCCTTTTATGGCTTTATAACTCATACATACATGAGAGTGAGTAAGCCTGAGTAAATGAATTATTATGTGTGGCAGAAGGTGTTTGGCTCACCCTTAAAGAATTGGAAATGGAAATGGAGCTTTAGTCCAAGACAGAGCTTCATCTGCTGTTGCAGTGTCAAGCCAAAACTCTCTGCTTGGTCCATGTACTCTGCCTCTGTGCTTCTAGTCCCCGACTCCCCAGCATTGCACGTCCTTTCACTAACGTGCCAACCTGGCCATGACCCTTTCAGCTGTGATTCAAAATGTCACGTTCCTACAGACCTCTGTGCATCCAGCAGGCCTGGCCCTTTTCCCAGTAAAAAGAGGAGGCAGGGGAAGAGTTGCTTTTTGTAGAACAGAAGGAAGGATAGTGATTGGATTTGATTTGCTGTAATCACTTACAAAATGGATTTTGGACATGCACACACATATCTACACACATCCCTGAAGGGGAGCATATCCTGATTCTCTGATACAAAAATGTCATTGATTCCTGTGCATGCTGCAGAAGTGTGAAGGCAGAGTTTCATGCTCTACTTTCCTAGTATCTGATTCTAGCAGAAATATGAAAGCTGAGCAATGTTGTTTGTAATTACCATTTCAAGCTCTGTTTTGGAATACAAATGACAATAACAGATGGGGCTTGATATGAGATAGTAGCTCCACTGTATGCATGTGTCCAAAGAGGCAATCTTTACCCTGAAGAATTTATGATCTAAACATGTAAAATGAATGAAAGAAGTCAGTGCAGAGAGGTCACAGTCCAGTATCTGATACTCAGTTTTCATAATGGCTCATGTGTGGGGTAACTGGTTAACAAAAGAACAAAAGAATGAGAATTTGCAACTTGGGTGTTCGATTTAAGATATATGAAATGATACTGTATTTTATATTGTCATGGTTTAACCTCAGCCAGCAACTAAGCACCATACAGCCGCTCGCTCACTCCCCCCCGGTGGGATGGGGGAGAGAATCAGAAGGGTAAAAGTGAGAAAACTCGTGGGTTGAGATAAAGACAGTTTAATAGGTAAAGCAAAAGCCGCGCACGCAAGCAAAGCAAAACAAGGAATTCATTCACTACTTCCCATGGGCAGGCAGGTGTTCAGCCATCTCCAGGAAAGCAGGGCTCCATCACGCGTAACAGTTGCTTGGGAAGACAAACGCCATCACTCCGAATGTCCCCCCCTTCCTTCTTCTTCCCCCAGCTTTATACACTGAGCATGATGTCACATGGTATGGAATATCCCTTTGGCCAGTTTGGGTCAGCTGTCCTGGCTGTGCCCCCTCCCAGCTTCTTGTGCACCTCCAGCCTTCTCAGTCGGTAGAGCATGGGAAGCTGGAAAGTCCTTGACTAGTGTAAGCATTACCTAGCAACAACTAAAACATGGGTGTGTTATCAACATTGTTCTCACCCTAAATCCGAAACACAGCACTGTACCAGCTACTAGGAAGGAAATTAACTCTATCTCTGCCGAAACCAGGACATATATATATTTGATACAGATTCACCAAATGTCTTTTGAATAGCTTACACTATTCTTCTTGTATCCACAAGTAAAAAAAAATCTCTGGTTTTTAACTTTATAATGAAGACTACAGAGATAGCTTGAGTTCCACATCCTTCCATCTACCTACCATTGCAATAATAATCTGTGTACCCCCGTGAAATTTCCTATGACATTGTTTCTAAATATTGCAGAGCTCAGACCAATAATTAAATTATTTTCCAAGTTTGAATTCACTTTATACTGGCATGCAAATCATAACTATTTGGAGCTTCATAGTTTTCATGATCAGGCAATAGGCAAAGGTAAAGGATTTGGGGTTTGTTTTGTCTTTTTCTTTGAAAGGTCAACTCTGCTTTTCCCCCAAGCCTCTTAACTCCACTTCAGCTATTACAAATGTTAATAAAAAGAATCTGAAAAATTTTTGACTCCCTGTATATGCTATTGTCACTGCACAAAAAGAAGCAGTATTACAGTGTCAGCGAATTTTGTTGCCTTTCTTTTGAGATAGTAATGAGAGCTCTGTTACATTCTTGCTCATCAAGGATCAGCTCTTTATTTGAAATGAATCACCCAAAAAGAGGAAACATAGATGTATCTAGGGTATTTTAATTGTTTCCAGGAGATTTCTTTCTTTTTCTCAGCTGTACAAACCCTAGTCTTTGTAAATTA